CTTAAGTCTGAGAGATTTTCAGGAACACTCATATGAACACAGATACAACCAGAAACACACACACACACACACACACACACACACACACACACACAAACACACACACACACACACACACACACGTGTGCGCGCCCATAAAAATAGACATACGTACACGCAAACACACGAGTCTCTTGTGTGCAGCAGCAAAGCACTTAACCAGTTCCCTGCACACACCCGAAGCACACTCTAAAGTCTATTGACAACAGGCTCAAATTGTAATGGGACAAACGTTTCCTATTTGTTTTTTCCCATTAAAGGTTAGATATTGCTTTAAGGTCAGGTACAGATACCTCAAGGTCAAAGACACACATTGTAAAGTCAGTAGTGCCGTAGTCGGACAAATCGCCTCTTTTTCCTTTTTGCGCCAATCTCTTTTAAATCTGCTAAATCGAAGGCCTGATCAGTAACCCTACTAGTGTAAAAAAGAATCAAAGTGAAACTGTGACTTTTCTAGCCTTTGAATATTTTGGAATTCGAAATCGGAAGAACACATTTTAAAAATGGTTACGCTGACCAAAAAAAGCGTCATTATCTCGAAATTGGTGTGAATTAAAGAGAGAGGCGTTTTGTCAATTAACGCAGAGTAGCTGTAGACGTTAACCATCCAACCCCAGCTTACATAACCTGGTGTGCACATCCAGGATCTCCAGTCTCCGTGACGCCAAGTTTGGGTAGCGAAGACGTCTGTTTTTTAAGTAAGTGTTTTACGGCAGTTCTAACACAAATAGGACATATAACCTAAATATCGAAGACTAGAGGAGTTACTACAATGTAATATGAAAGTTGAAAAAAAAGAAAGGGAGAAAAGATTAGTACAATATAATTTTGATAGGAAAGAAGGAGCAAACAACACCAGAGCACCCGCCAACCATACATATCGTGCATCATTTGCTATTTTAAGATGGGCCATTTAATGCTTTGTTTTTTAATGTATTTCATACATGGTATTGTCCCAACTTGTTCTCTAACTTCTTAGCTATTGTTCATCTTTTTATTTTTAGCATTAGATTGGAAAACTATACATTCTCAATTTAAATATGTGATTGATGGACTAATTTGTTGAGCTATTTTTGAAGATGAGAGGACTTTTCGTTCTTTCTCTAGCTTTAATAGTTTTTTATTATTAAGATTAAATAGGAAATAATAAATACGGCTATTACTATTAGCATTCTGTATCCTTAATGACACAAATGAGTTTTTGTTTTCTTTTGGGATCTTGTTGGTTTGGGAGTCATTCAAGATCTAGATCTATACTTCCTTAATATTATTGTAGAAATTGACTTACTTTCTGGTATAAAATATAATTTTAACTTAAGCCTTAGAGAAGTGTATAATTATAATATAAAATAATTTCTCTGATATTTAACACGCCAAACACAGGGGAGATAACTCGCAATTTTGTGGGCAAATAATAAATGTTCTAGGGGAAATTTTATACGTCCCTGTGGGCCAATAAGCACTCCGTTAAGACTTATGAGATTGAGGGAAGTGGTTGTCAAAACTTTCATTTACTGTAAGGACAAAGATACCAATACATTCATACAACATTTCTGTACAGACAAATATTACTAAAACGTGACCTATGTAATCCTAAAATCAAAGACAGCAATAAGGTCAAAGGTTACCTCTGGACGCTCTTCTCGGAGCTCTCTCAGGAAATTTGCTTCTTCCGTTTGGTGAGACTCCAACTCTACACCCAGTAATTGGTAGCTGGTCGGGAAAAGAGAGAGTTGGGTCAGATATCTTTTGGAAAATTTCTCTCTCTCTCTCTCTCTCTCTCTCTCTCTCT